ATGCTGGCATTGTTTCAGAAAATGTAAAAAAACTGGAAACCTTTATATAAAATAAAAAATGTAAACATAGCTTTAAGTTATATGGAAAAATACCTACATTCTGTCCTTAACACCTATGCGCCTTTAATAACAAAAAAAGTAAAAGGCAAATATAGTCCATGGCTATCACTTAACATCAAACAACTGATGAATTCGCGAGATAAACAGTTACGCAGATCCAGAAGTACTAAAAACCCAGAAGACTGGATCAATTATAAGAAACTATGAAATAAATGTAATAATAAAATTTGTGGCACTTAAAAACTATACCATCAGAAACTACTCTAAGAGAGCAGTAAATTGCCAGATGAGTACTGGAAAGCCATTAAACACATATTTCCAACTAAACAAACCCTCGAAAACAATAGCATTAAGCAATCCTCTATAGAAAATAAATAAATGGCTGACAGTTTTTGTTCTTTCTTCTGTAATGTTGCACACAACCTAGTCAATCTAAAAGGTAATACTGTTAACTTAAACAAAAAGATTTGGGCAAAACCAAAAAATTACACTTCCTATAAGAACTTGCCAAAGGTTCAAACTCATTCCAATCTCTAAAAACTTCACTCATTCAAATTTAAGGTTAATTAAAATTAAAAAATCTACTGGCTTAGATAACTTACCTGCACATTTTATTAAAGACATTGCCTCAAATATAGCATGTCCTTTTACATACATTATCAATCTTTCTATTAAATCTTCAACAGTACCAACAAATTGGAAAATAGCAAAAGTCAAACCAATACATAAATCAGGTTCGTTCAATGAATTCAGCAACACTCGACCAATTTCTGTTTTGCCAATATTTTCTAAAATTCTTGAACGTGCTGTACGTGCTTTTATCAAAATGTCAGTTTGATTTTTGAAAGAATAGATCTACAGAATTAGCTACAGGTATTTTTGTTGATACTCTATGAAAAAATATCGATAGCGGAAAAATGGTTGGTTCAGTGTTTATCGATCTTTCAAAAGCGTTCGACACTATTAGCCACAATATACTCCTCTCTAAGCTAACTATATACCGCAGTGAAGGTGCTGAGTTAGATTGGTTTAAATGTTACTTATTTGGTCATTACCAACTTGTCAAGTATTACTATGAGCTATCTAATAAACAACCGGTGACCTGTGGGGTGCCTCAAGGCTCTATTCTTGGTCCATTATTATTTTTAATTTATTTTAATAACTTTAAAAAATGTCTAAATCACTGCGATAACCTTGAATTTCCAGACGATGTAGTGATACATTATGCCAGCAATGATTTTAGTACCATCAAAAAACTTATGACTGACAATTTAAACTCAATTTCAATAATTTTTGAAGAAAGCGATTAAGTCTTAAACTCAAGTAGTGGTAAAACACAATTTGGTATGCCTAAGCGATTGTCAACTTTTCCAAAAAATCTAAATTTGGTTTTCAACAATATAAAAATACCATCAAGTAAAATTTATAAATATCTAGGAACCCAAAATTTCAATAACTTGTTTAAAAAGGCAGCTTTCCATCTTTACTTGATTAAGAAGATGCGTCATCTGCTGACAATGGATGCGTGTCACATGATAGAGCCGAAAATATTTATCCTCAAAAATATCACCGAAATATTTCACAACCGAAAATTTTAGAACCGAAAAGTATACTTTTATTGCAGGACCGAATTACAAAATCCTTTTCTTGCGCTGAAAGTTTTTAAACCGAATTTTACAACCGAAAAAATTTGGATCGAATTACAAAATCCTTTCTTTTGTTTAATCTATATTTTTTTTTTTTTTTTTCAGTTAGTCGTTTTACAATAAAATAAACAATTAAAATTTCTTTAAAATATATATACATATATCTTATACTGCTGAGTTAGGTGAGCATGATGATGTCATACTCACCTAACGTCAAATAGCCTGCTGCTGGGGGCTTCAGTACATACATCGACTGACAAATAGCCTGACTCGCAGTGGAGTGCTGCTACATCGACTGAGGGTTTGGTATGGGTCAGCAACCTATTCATTCATTATTCTTCGTTTTCCCTCATCGTTTTCTAAAAACGCTCACTTAATTGTAATTAATTAAGTGTAACTTTCGGTTGTAAACCATTTTAATGAAATTCGGTTCTAAAATCATTAATAACTTTTGATTGAAAATTCGATTGAAATTTTTTTGGTTCTAAAATCATTAATGACTTTCGATCCAAAATTCGATTGAAATTTTTTCGGTTCTATTTTTTTTCGTAAATATATTCGGTTGTGTAATAAATTTCTCATATTCGGTTCTAGATTGAAATTAGGTATTCGGTTGAATCATAGGACGCCCAATGGATGCAGCAAAAAATGTTTATGCCCTCATGATAATTCCAATAATAACATATTGAGTAATTGTAAGCATAAAGAAAACTAGCAACCAAATAAATCAAATTAGAAACTAGAACTGTTGCAATAATTTTGAACACTCATATTATTAACGTAGTCACTATTCCATCAATAGACAAAATTCTCAGAAAAAGAGCTTGCGTATTTGTATATAAATGTTTGCATGGGACCATGTGTTGCAATTTCAAAAACTATTTTACATTACAAAAACACTCAAAACAAACACGGAACAATAATCATTCTGTTGTTATTCCAAAGATAAAACTTCAATGTATAAAAAAGTCATTTTCTTACACAGGTGCTGTTTTTTACAATAATTTAACAAAAGAGGCAAAAAGTGCAAAAAACATAACTTTATTTAAATCACTTTTATAAATTTTGTTAATATTATTATATTTATATTTTATACTTTTAGTTATACTAATTTTTATTTTTATTCAGGACACATATTGATAGCAGTTTTTTTATATAACTGAAATGCATATCCTGTTAAAATATTCATTTAATAATAAAAAATAAAAGGTGCGTCTAACAAAAATAAGTATTGAATAAATAACAAAATTAAGTATAAGTTTAATTGAACTAATTGGCTGTTGTTAATTTGCTGTTGTTGATAAAAGCTTCTAGAGCAGTGGTTCCCAACTGGTAGTCCATGGCCACCTGGGGGTTCATGAGAACTTTTTTGGCGAACCTCAAGGTAAACGTAAATTATAAACATTTTTTTGGTTAGTAAATTTTAATTTTGATGTTTTTTTCTGTTTAAAGAAACAAGTTAAATCTTAAATTAAAAATGTAATTTATACTAGAAAACTATGTTACACAAAATCTGCGTTAATCGATTGAATGTTAATGAATTTTAACTGTCGATGACTTGCAAAGTCTGCAAACTGTCGATGACATTGCAAAGTCTGCAAACTGTCGATGACATTACAAAGTAATAAGTGCATTTATTACTTTGTAATGATCTGCAATAAATTATGCTATATAATATCATAATTCTTTCATCTGTAAATCTTAAAAGTAAAACTTATTTCTTATCTTAAAGTAAAAACATTTTTTTCAAAATAGTAAAAATATTTTTTTTTAACCTTATTTTAATTTTTTCTTATTTTTTCATTTTTTTTTTTCTTGAAAGAAAAGTTAGAAAAAACTGGGATTATTCACTAAAATCAACAGAAGCAATCAGTAGAAGTATGAGTTTTATAATATCACAGAACAAAAAAGCTCACACATTGGCTGAAGAAGTTATACTTCCATGTACTAAAATAATCATTAGATTATTATTTGAAGAAGAAGCTGTAAAGAAGATATCATTATCAAATACTACAGTCAAACAAAGGCTAACTGACATTTCATCAAATATTAATGAAATTAAAGAATCACCATATTTCTCTAGTTAGTTGAATAAGTCCACAGATGTAAGTTAAATGGCACAGTTAGTTGTATTTTTTAGATGTAATCACAACTCCTGCCATGATGGGTTGTCTGGATTGCAGATTAGGGTATAAGAGATTGCTCCGAATGTAGTTAATGTACACTGTTTTATTCATAGATAGGCTTCAGCAACCAAAACTTTACCATAGTTTGAAAGTTGTATTTAATCAGACTTTTTTTAAATCAGAATTTATGTCAGAGAAAAAAAGTTTTCTCTGACCTAAATGCTGAACACAATAAGTTATTGTTTTATACTTCAGTGCGATGGCTGCTGGAAATTTTCTGGAAAGATTATTCAAGCTTAAAATTGAAGTTAAAGATTTGTCAAATGAAAAGTGGACTAATAGAATATTTTTAATTTGAAAATTTTGAAAAATTAACTGCTTATCTTGTAGAATTTGTGGGTTATTTTAACAAGTTAAATTTGCAACCTCAAGGCAAAAATGCTAATGTCATTCCACACTTGGATAAAATAAAGGCATTTATTGAGAAGCTTATGACTACATCTAATAATTGGAGTTTGATCATGTTTCAAAATTTAAATAGTGTAATTGGAAATAACATGCTTGCCAAAGATATAAAGGTGTAATTTGTCACCAAGATAATTTCATTAATAAATTTGGTCACTATTTTCCAGATGTGAACCTTTTGAGCAGTGAATTTATTGTATCACCATTTTTATGTAATGTTAAAATGTGAAAGAATTTATAGAGTTAAAGAATAATACCACGGCTAGGGATCACTTCAAAACAACACCATTAATTAACTTCTTGTTGAAAATGATGAATTCATATCCATTGTGTTCATTGATTACACTTAAAGTTCTTATTTCTTTTTCAACATCATACTTGTGTGAAACTGGGTTTTCAGCAATCTCTTAAAACTAAAAAAATAAAATAGACTCGATATCAATGCAGATATTAGATTTGCTCTATCAAAAACTAAACCGAGTTTTCAGAAATTAATTGCTGGTAATTATTAAAATTTTCACTTTTTAATAACTTTTAAAAGAAAAAGAGTCTATGAAGATTTTATAATATATAATTTGGGGACGGGTTTAAAAAGGTTGGGAACCACTGTTCTAGAGTTAAATAAAAAATATTCAAACTTTTTTAATTTCTTTTTTTTTACATATTTTTTATTTTTTTAAATAAATAAAATTATAATTTTTAGGAGGTAGAGGAATTTATGTCATTCAGCAAAAATTTCCAATGCTTAAGTCGGAACTAAAAATTGAAATAAAAGAAAAGGACGTTCATATTTCAACAATAAATCTTCTTTGCATACGTGTCGCAGAGCCAGTTATTGATCCAGTGATGTGGCAAGAAAAACATATATATATTGATGGGTTTGAAATTCAAAAGCCAAACCAAGGTACATAACCAAAGCTAGAATGCTTTTTTGTATTTTAAATATTTTAACTTGTTTAAATTGATGTAAAGTAATATTAGTTAAACTTAGTATTAAATATAAAGCAATACAATCTTGATGATAGAATATTTTCATTTGAGCTGGGTAATTCTGGGTAATTTAGGCAAAAGTGTATTCAACAGATTTTTATTATCATAATTAAATGTGGGTAATTTTTGCAGATGTCAGCATTTAATGTACCAATATGAGTTGGTGTGAAACATGATAAGTCAGCATTCAATTAGAGTAGAATTCATCATCTGATCCGATATTTATGTCTTGTTGATTTATTGCATTTATCAACATAATACCGTTAAAACCTAAAATTTTTGTATTTAATTATTTTTTAATTGAACTTTTTGCCTTTTTGAACATAAAGTTAAAAAGATAAAGCACAATGTGTGAATGTTTTAATGTGCATGCATATATATATATATATATATATATATATATATATATATATATATATATATATATATATATATATATATATATATATATATATATATATATATATATATATATATATATATATCCAATGGCTTTTTCTTTTCAAGTATAAATTTTTTATTGTAACCAATATGTGTCATTGGTTAGGTATTACACATTCATTTATTTGTTGAAATGACATCACAAATGGCCAAGGTGTTAAATTAACAGTAAAAAGAGATAAAAAACAAATGAATGAAGAAAAAAAGATAAATGAAAAATCATAAATTTTTTAAAAGGTTCAAGATTTAAAAAAAATCAAAGTAATAACAAGATTAAAAGATTAAAAAAAACACGAAAAAAAAAATGAAATAAATAAAAGTACAAGGTGAAAATAAAAGTACAAGGTGAAAATAATATGTACAAGATATTAATCATAAGGCATATAATAATATGGCTGTTTTTTTTTGTTGTTGTTTTTTTTTTTAATTTTTGTTAAGGTGTCACTCTATCGACTTGTTTTTTAACTATGAATTACACCTAACCTGATTTTGTAAATTATAATCAATTTTTTAATTATAATTTTATGGTTAAATAAATGGATGAAAAAATTGAAATTTAAAAACAGATGTTTGCATTCTTAGTGTGAGTTTTATTTGAGCATGGAGACTTGAATTTGTTGCGTTCAACAATTCAACTTAAACTGGTTAAATTGCACAAAGTACCATGAAACATGAAAAACATTTTTTTTCAGGTTTTTTTTAATATTTGATGTGTTATAAATATTAATTATGAAAGAACAAAGTTTAATAATAACACTCATGTTAACATTATATGTGCAAAAAATGTTAAAAGAATTTATGTATATTTGACATATATTAATATATATGTTAAATATACAGAATTTTAGAACTTGACAATAATAACTTGAACAATGTAAAAAATATGGAAAAAACAGGAAATGGCTATTGTTTGTATACCAGAATTCTCTAGGCCTGTATGTATGTGTGTATGTATGTGTGTATGTGTGTAGTTTTTAAGATTCTCCAAGAAGATGGAACTAGACACTGAACATCATAGAATAATAGAGCAACATTTATTGAAGGGTCTTTTTTTCACAGATTTTTCTTGGCCAAGCGTGTATTGAAACATAGATTTTTTTTGTTGAATGATTCAGAATGATTCTGAAGTCACCACTCTAACTTACTCAGTTGTTTTGAATGCCATATACTTTTTTTTTACCCAACTAAATACTGTTTTTCAGTCATTTATGTAATGAAAATTAACTTTTTTGTGATAAAATACCTTCACATATTATAAAGCAAAAATTATTACAGTTATTTATAAAATGATTCCGCTATGATAAAACTTTAAAAGAAAATAAATTTGAACTTAAACCATACAGATACTATTATAACTGAGATATAAAAAAAACTCCACTTTTTTCAAAAAGTTTAATCACTTCTTCTTTAGTCAGTACTTTCATAGCAAGACTAGACTCATAGGATGATTGATGATTATTTAAAAGCTGGTATGCCATGAGAATGTGTCTGTAGCAGGTTGTCTGTAAGAAAATGTATTTGGATTGTTAACTAAGCTTACCCTGGTTAGGGTGCATTAAACACCCCTTAATTTCAAAAAAAAGATCTGTCCCTATTCTTAAAACTTTTTTTTGGTTCTCACAAGCAGCACTGTTAAATTTTTCTAAAATGTAATTGTATTTAGGGGGGCTACCTCAAGTCTCAACTTTGGCTACCTCAAGTCTCAACTTTGCAACCCATGATGAAATAAAAAAAAAAGTTTTCATAAATGTTTATCATGTTGGGTTACAAAAGAATTGAAATTTCATAAAAATTTTTAAAATAATTATCTTTTTATAAAAAACATCAGAAAAAAAATTATTAATTATAATATATTTAATATATAATAATAAAAATTATTAATTAAATATATGTATTTTTGTAAAAATGATTTTTTTTCATTTTTAGTTAAAAAATGCTATTTTTTACGCAGTAAAATTCTTTATTAAAGCAATATAAAAAAATTTTAAATAATTATTATTTTATAAAAAAAAAATATTATTAAATCATTATTTTTTTATAAAATGATAATTATTTTTAAAGTTTTTATATTGATTTGCTTCTTTTGAGACCCAACATGACATACTTTTAAAAACTTTTCTACATTTAGGGTTGCTAAGATCAAACTTGAGGTGGCCCCCTAAACCCTATTACATTTAGGAAAAATTTAACAAAGTTGCTTGTGAGAACCGATATAAAGTTTTAAGAATATAGACAGATCTTTTTTTGAAAGTTGGGTTCAAATTTGTTTGATTAAATATAAATACATTAATTCAAGATTTCCAAGTACAAATATATGCAATCAGTATTTTCCAAACACAAATATATGCAATCAGTATTTTCCAAATACAAATACAAATATTTGTAATTTAGGTTAAAAAAAAATATACAGATTTTTTCAAGACAAGACTGTCAAAATGGTCTACTATATTCAAGAATGAAAACAAGTTTTCTCACAAAGATCACTTAAAGATTTAATTTTATTAATTTATTTTAGTGTTTAAAATGAAATAAAGATGAAATAAACAAACAATGAACCTCTTGGTATTTCCAAAAAAAAACAAACACTGGTTAACATAGGTTAACTGGTTAACTATTGAATTGCAAATACATTTCAATCAAATACAAATATTTAAGAGTTTTTTTATCAAATTTAATACAAAAACAAATATACCAAGTTAGCCCTTTTTTACAAAATATAAATACAATTATAAATATATATTTGACCCCAACCCTGACCCTGTCTTACAAATAAACCTGGTATGATAAAAGAAAAGTATTGGTTATTGTTAAACATTTACTGAATCTTTCATTATAGCAAACCTTTGTTTATCAGTTTTTTCTTATTTGTTTTTCATAATTTTTTGCAATACAAAATAAATAAATAATGTTTTTTTATTTTATATTGTAAATGACATTTATATTGTAAATGTCTTAAATAAAATTTTAATTAAATATTCAAGTAAAAAAATTTATAACAAATTGTTTAGTTTAATTAAAATGAAAATAAAAATAAATGAAAAGTGTGTTTAGCTTTCTGTTTTGATTTGTAATTCATCCTTTGTTAACTCTTCCCACCTTTTGGTAACTCCTTCAACACTTTATAACTCTTTATATATTTGATGATTAAATGTATTAATAATAATGTTATGCACATTACTAATATTTTTTTTTCAGAGTTACCATGGTTTTTATGTTTAATTAATGGGATATGGAACGTTTGTGAAGGAAAAGTTTATGAACGGGATATCTCTACTTATGGTCCAGCAAGAAGAATTGCTGAAAACCCCTTTCATATATCTATATGTAATTTTATATTTTATATTTTAAAAACTAATTCTTAAAATTAAAAAAATTTTGTAAAAGGACTTTAGTTTATCACAAAGATTTTGACAACTCATTGTATTAAGTGCAAATTTGTCAATTACAATTGTCAACTCCCACTTCTCAAAAGAAAAACATTTCTTTTTTATTAGGTGATAATGGAAATAATGAAGAATCGTCAGTTCTTTTAAACTCGGCTATATTTCTTTCAAATCTTTTCCAGTCTACTTCCGATACAACTGTTTTGATTAAAAGACTTAATGTACTGCCTGATGTTATCTTAGATAACATGATTTTAATTGGCACAGAAAACTGTACTAAACACATGGGACTAAGAAAACTTGTTAACTTCACATCTAGTGGATTGAGGATTGGTAAAAATAAATCTATGTTATTTAAGTTTTATATATATATGTAATCTTGAGGCTTTACATATATATTTATATTTTGTCAATGCTTTATAATATAATTTATGTTCATTACTATATCATGTTATATTACTTCAAATTAACATTTGAAGTAATACTAGGTTGGTTGAAAAGTTCGCGGAGCGGCACCTATGTTGCAGTAGTAGAAACAAATTTATAACTGTATTAAACGTATTCATTTTTCGTATGAACGCATAAAAAATTTCAAGTCGATATGTCATTTCAGTCTTTGTTTACAAGCTATTGAAATTAGACATGTCATAGTATTTTTTAAAATGGAAAATATTGAACATCGTGCTGTAATAAAATTCTTTGTGAAAAAAGGTTTAAAGCCCATGGAAATTCATAATGAAATGGTAAATGTGTTGGGTGATGGTGCTCCTTCAAAAACAACAGTATGCAAATGGGCTGCGGAGTTTCAACGCTCTGGACGTCCAAAAAGTGCTACTACTGAAGAAACAATTAATGCTGTGCATGACATGGTTATGGATGATAGACGATTGACCAAACATGAAATTGCTGAGGCTGTGGGCATCTCAGATGAACGGGTATTACACATCTTGCACGATGAATTACGTCTGAGAAAGCTGTTGGCAAGATGGGTGCCGCATTCGCTAACTCTGGATCAGAAACGCACTCGAGTAAAACTTTCTCAAGAACATTTGGCCCGTTTTCAAAAGAATAAAACAGATTTTGTGCGTCGATTCGTAACCATGGATGAGACTTGGGTTTACCACTATGATCCGAAGCTGCGACAACAAACTGCAGAGTGGACAGAACCCGGTTGTTCAGCTCCGAAGCAAGTGAAGGCGTCAAAATCGTCAAAGAAGGTTATGGCATCAGTTTTTTGGGATGCGAAAGGAATTTTATTAATAGATTACCTTCAAACCGGTAAAACGATAACAGGTGAATATTATAAAAATCTTTTGGACCAGTTGGATAAAAAAATTCGTGAGAAAAGACCTGGTTTGCTGCATAAAAAAATCATTTATCACCAGGACAACGCACCTGCTCATATCAGCGATGTTGCAAAGGCGAAATTGGTTGAATTAAAGTACGAACGTTTGGAACATCCACCCTATTCACCAGATCTGGCTCCGTCCGACTTCCACCTTTTTCCACATCTCAAAAAATTTCTACGTGGAAAGCGTTTCTCATCACATGAAGAAGTCATTGCAGCCGTAAATGGGTATTTTGAAGGCCTTCCGGAATCGCACTTCAGAGATGGGATACATGAATTGGAGAATCGTTGGAAAAAGTGTATTGCTCTTAAGGGAGAATATACTGAAGAATAAAGTCATTTTTTGAATCATAAAATTGTTTTTTCATTTCCGCTCCGCGAACTTTTCAACCAACCTAGTACAACATGATTTTTAGAATTTATAATTTTTATCAACATTTAACACTAGTTATTACAATGTTAAATAAATAAAGAATTTCAAAATATTTTCAACTGCTTTATTAGGTGATAATGCACTGCTCCTAGTGCATTATCACCTACAAAAACTATTTAAAAGGACCCAGTAGAAGTGAAGTAGTCTTAATTTAAATTTATAATTAAAATGTATTATTTAATTCATTTTTGTAAATAGTTCATATTTATTTAAAGTTTAAAATGTGTTTTATGTGTTTTAGATTACGTGTTATATGTATTTTAGATTATGTATTTATTTAAAGTTTAAAAATTAAAATTAAAAAAAAGGTTACTATGCTTGAATCGAAAAAAGAAATCATCTGAAATTTAAAAAAGTAATCTTTTTTCTTTTGCATCAAGATCAATTTATAATCCTACAAAATCAAGCTTAGGTTGCTTTAAGAGAGAACAAACAATGTATCCACTGCAGCAAAAATTATAAAAAGTGATATAAGGCAATTATCTTGCTCAAAAAATGATTACCCTTCACCATATAAATTAGGAAATCTTGACTATGGATAAGAATGGGTGCCTGTGCCAATGCCTTTTTCTATTTTTAAGTCAATATCTTCAGATCTAAAAGTAGTTGCAATTGGGTAATGTATTGCACAAGCATCTAGACCAAGATCTATAATTGTATCTATACTTTTCGGGATAGGAGTTGACAGACAAGTTGTTAGCCTCAAAATGGTTTATCTATCAAAATTTGGTTTTTCTGTTTCATCTGACAAAGTATTGCTATTCAAGCAATCTGCAATGAAAAGTAATAATGTTGATGCAGATAACTGCTCTAATAATGTAGGTTTTACACAATATGTTGCTGAATATGTTGATCGTACTCATGACGGGATATGTACCTTTTACAGTATGGGTTTCATTTCAATTTCACATTCATTTGCAGCGTCTCTTACAACAATCTAGCATCTGGAAATGCAAAAATAAGCATCATATATTGCAAATCAAGTTGGTGTTAACATAACTCCTTATAATAGATCAAGTTATTATTGTTTATTAAAGCTGGAGTTGAAACCTGTTCACGAGCTTATGCAAGTTCTAGTGCTTCCTAATGAGCTAAATTACAATCTGTTATGGTTAACTTCATGGTTCTTTAATTCTAAAAAGAATTCTTCCTTCAATTGGTCCAGTTTCATGCAGTATGTAACTAGCTCATCCAAAGTATACAAAAAAGTAACAGTTACATTTCTTCCAATTATTGATTTGAATCCAACAGATGAAACTTGTTTATATTCCACTCCTCTCTTTGTAGTAGATAGAGCAAAGAAAAACAGAGTTCATACACCTATAATTTTTGATCATCCAATATGGTTAAAGGCAACTGGTATCATCCAAGATCAAGATTTAAATATAGTTTGCAGACTCGAATTCATTTGCTGATGAGTTTTCTTAGTAGTATTGGAAAATATATTGCTGGTTCTGGGCTTGAAGAACTCTTCTCAGAGGTTTATGAAGAGAATAGTGTAGTTCACATTGTCAGGAAAAGTGGTATCTAAAGCTCTATGGGCACACTTTTTAGCTCACAGTGCACTGTAGGGTAAGGCGGGGCGAGTTCGTCATGTTTTACTTTAACAGTTTAAAAGCATTTTTTTTTATTAATTAGGGTCTCTACTTTGTTAATGTATTGAATCAAAATAAATTCTAAAGTTATTTTAGCGTAGAACTTGATTTTTTCATCATCAAGTCATAAGGGGCAAATTCGTCAATTACGGGGCAAATTCGTCAGTACAACTAAACTAATTGAAAAATACGTCACTAGGGCGATAGACAAAATTTCTTACTAGTGGTAAAGACAGCTTACCTAGGAGAAAAAAAAACTTTGATATAAAGCATTATTTTTGGAGTAATAGTAGGATGATTTCTGTAATCTAAAACAGTAAACCCCTAAGTGATGTAGATAGAACTACTGATAGCTACAGATAGAATTACCTACAGATAACAAGAAGATAGAATTACTGAAAGCCCGTTTCCTGATTTCTAAAACATCTAAAAAGATGTCATTTGTTAAACTTTTTCTAGAAAATATCAAATAATGATTTTGGCATAAATAAAAAACCGTCTAACCACGCTAGCTCACAAAATAACATGTTAAAGCAATAACAAAAACTATATCACTATGATCATTTAAAAGACGTTTATATTTCTTTTGCACACAATTTCCATATGTATCAACTCCAAAACATCCTTCACATGCCAACTTAAACATTTAAGCCAATCTTCGTTTGCTTCTCCCCAAACTACACAAACTGACACAACAAAAGTCTTTATCAGTGTTATTTTTTAAAATAAAACCACTAGATGAACTTGGGTGCTCAGAATCAGCTGAAAAATAAGTCTTCTTTATTTTTGTTTTGACTGGTTTATCTTTTTTTTTTTTTTTTTTTGATTTCTGTTTAACACTGACCACATTTTTTATTGGAGCCTTTTTAGCAGGAGACTCTTTTATGAACTTAACATTATCTTGGAAATGTAGTTAGAGCAATATGGCGTTTTGAGTGAGTAGGTTTGCTGTTTTCCGGGAGAAGATACAATAGTCCTTAAAACAGATAAATTTGGGTCTCGTAGATGAATTTTTGTTTTATTAATTATCTCTTTTTTTTTTGTATTCAAAGTCTTTCACTGTATTTCTTAGGGAATGCAAACCGCAATGGGAAAACGCATTAACAATCAATCCTCTTTTTATAAGTATGTTAGGCCATATTTTGTTAACAATAATGTGAGAGTTGCAATATTTTGTTAAAAATAATGTGAAAGTTTTATGTGAGGCATAGAAATATTATCGTTTTCAGCAAAGCAATAAGACAAGGCCTAAGACCACATATGTTTAACTACATTTTTAACATGTTTGACAAGTGGTTGAAGGCAATGTGTACTATGTGTACTACATGTTTGACAAGTGGTTGAAGGCATGTGATAATAATCATTACGCAACGATTCCGAACAAGAAAACATAGCCACTTAAGTTGTTATTTTGAAAATATTGACATCGATCTATCAAAAAAAATTTACTTTGTGATCAAAACATTTCGTATTTTGATTATTTTTTTGATGATAAGCATTTAAGCAGAAAAATATTTTTTTCAACTTCGATGTTTACTCGCAATATTTAAAGAATAATCAAAGGAAAATATATAAAACACTTATTCAATAATATTCTGCAAAATCACAAATATCAGTAGAAAAAGTTTAAAAAAAACTTAGTAAATAGATTTTTTTGTTTTTATGCATTATTATGTTAAAGCTGAGTCGAATATGTGGCGAATTTGCTCCGTGACTAATTCACACCGCTTTACCCTATAAATTGCTTTTAAATGATATAGTTGTTGTTTATGAAATAAATTGTTCTGATTTAAAAAACAATTATTTAAAAGCTATGAGTAATTCTTTAGGTAACAATGAATTTAATAAGTTCGTTGAAAGTGAAAACTATAAATTTCTAGAAAATTCAACTAATGAATATATAGAAATGAAAAGAAAATAAATTGTCCTTGAGGAAGATACTGTTGAAACAAAATGACATATTATCAAATGTAAATATGACAAGCTGTAAATTTGTTTTCAATGGCAGTGCACTATTACATCGTGTACTTAGGATAAAATGGTTACAATTTAGCGATTTAGCAAAAACATATTTAACATATATCAAGAAAAATTTTCTGCTATTATAATTTTTGGTGGCTACGAACAGATAACAGATAACAACTAAATCAAATTAGCATACAAGAAGATGAATACAAAGGTATTTTAGGGGCAAAAAAAGGTTGATTTTTGAAACCACTAAAATTTTATTAACTGTATATGGTTGCATAGAATTTTTTATGCCCATCAATACTTATATAAGAACTATGAATTGAAAACAATTATTTAAAAAGTTATTTACGTTTTAAAAGTACGCTTTTATATAATTATATAAACAATAAGGTGGGCTGCAAAAAAACTTGAAAACTAGGAAATGGCAGGGCGTGCAATAGTTGCTCCATGACCTTGTTAGTTATTGTGCAAAATATTTTGAATTTTAGAAGTCATCTTGAGGTGCCCCAGGGCGTCCCAATTTTATGACTGCCAAATGGCCCAATTTGGTTTTAATGGTACAGCTTGAGTCGTCCTCATCAGACGTTGCCGAAACTTTTACATTGTCAACTTGTTCATCAATTTTTATACATTTGCGATGTTTTTCCATGAAATCATCAACTCGTCTTTGGCGTTTTTGTTGTAACACGAGTTTCTTTGTAGTTCTTACATCAACACCGCCCATCATCATTTTTTGTTGATTTCGTTGGTCCGTCAAGAAGCTTCTCTCTGCAGGGGGCACCTTATGCTCAAGTTTGCATCTGCAACTTGGAAAATCAATGCATTTGCAGATTGCAATATCAACTAGTTGCAGATCTGTTTCGGTAGCAAATCTTTCAAGTCGCTCGGTGTATACCGGATTACATTTTCTGGATTTATATGGTTTTAGCAAGTTTGTGTAATTGTTGTGGAGCATTCTGATTTTCTCTACAATTCTCTTGTGTGATATTACCGGGGTTGACGCTTTGATCCATATATGCTCGATATTTTGGGCTGTTCTTTCTGCGACTGTGGAAACTGCAGGATCCGAAGCACTGTCTGTCACTTTCATCTCTCGTCGTTTCTGCAAAAATGTTCGCATTGTATCCGACTTTGATGGCAGCTGGGTCTCTTTGGCTCTGGACAGATAACCAAAAACCGGGCAGCATTGGGTCTTTCTTGTCGGCTTCTTCGATGCGCTGTGGGGTGTAGTATTGCACTTTTCCCTTTCCTGAAAACATAACCCCAACTTTAACTTTAACCCCAACTTTAATTTTAACTTTAACCCTAACTCTTACCAAGTTAGCATGATTGGCTAAGTTCTGTCATGTAATAATAATAGGGTTACGGTTATGTAATAATGCAATAATGTAATAAATATAGTTGTACTGGTTACTTGAGCATTAGTCAGATTCTTTGGTTTGCTACTGGGTGTCATAATAACTTCCGTCAATCTTTGTTTTGCTGAAAAGTACATTAAGTTAATTGTATAGCATTTATTTTATTTTCGTTATAAATGAGTGATAATAGAGAAAGCATAGAATATTTACAACAGTTTGTTGCATTACCTAACTATCTGACTCTGTTTCACTGCCCTTAATTATAATTATGGTTGCTTTTGGTAGTACTTCATTTGAAGCTATACCATTTTAAAACCAATTTGGGCCATTTCGCAGTTATAAAATTGGGACGTCCTGGGGCACCACAAGATAACTTCCAAAATTCAAAATATTTTGCACAATAACTATCAATGTCATGGAGCAACTATTGCACGCCATTGCGTTTCCTAGTTTTCAGCCCACCTTATTGTTTATATAATTATATAAAAGTGTACTTTTAAAACGTAAATAACTTTTTAGATAATTGTTTTCAATTCATAGTTCTTATATAAGGATTGATTGGCATAAAAGGTTCTATGCAACCATATACAGTTAATAGAATTTTAGTGGTTTCTAAAATCAACCTTTTTTTGCCTCTAAAATTGTCCCAAAAAGCATGTTCTATAACGCAATCAACATGGCTTTTTTTATGCTCATCCAAAGTTTGTCTACTTTCTCTCTGCCGAAATTCAGCTTTATACTATTTTTATTTGGGTTTCCAACTCTATTTTTTGCTAATATCCTCTGAATAATTAATTCTAGGAGGGACGATTAATTAAATGATATAAGTTAAAAGGAATAAATTTTCAAAATATGGTTTTTATATAATTATTAATCAGCATTAAATTATCTTTCCAACTGTGCATTGAAAGTGCATTTTTAGGAAATTTGAATTTCGCTCCTATGTGCCCCGTTTTTGGCCTAAATTAGAAGCTTTCCGTGACCTAAACGATGAGGCTTTTTTTTTTGGTGACTCAAGACATGTTTCTGGATAGTAATGATATGGATACTAAATCTTAGCTTTATTGTATTTTTTCCGGGTTTTATTTCCAGCCTACTTTAATGAGTAACAAGTAATAGTAAAAATGAGGTTTTTAAAAATCATATTTAATGTTTACAACAAGAAAACCCTTTGTAGCTATAAACATAATGTAGCAATAATGCAGGGCATTTTTCTGCCTTACACGGGAACTATATTATTAACTGGAATATTCTAGTATTGTATTAGACAACAAAATATTAGAACACGTCATACAAAAGCGATTATTTTTTACAAACATTCAGTTCCGCTTTTAAAATTCTAACACTCTTAAAATAACTAACACTCTTAAAATAAATTAAACTTTAAAATATAGAATAAACATGCCACAAAAGTAATCAAATATCAACTATCAGAAATATGCCTTTTACCTAGCATGTTTACATTAAATGAAGATGAACCATCTAAAGTTAAAAAAGAAAATAATAAACATACAAAGCTTTAATATAATGAAATTTAATTTAATTTCTATTAAAAATCATAATGAAAATTAGAAAATAACTTTAAATTTCAAAAAATCAGGATTTAGGGGTTGTCCATAAATTTCCTCACGCAAATTTCGACCATTTTTGGTCGAAATTTGCATGAGGAAATTTATGGACAACCCTCCTCCTCCTCCTCCTTCTCCTCGTCACAACATCGTAACACCTTAGAAACATGTCGCGTATAAGTCGTCACAAAACCACTAACCCCCCTCCCCTAAAGCCTGATGTAATTTATGGAAGTGGAAATTTTTAATGTAATATGCTACGCGTAATATTTGCGTTTTAATTAATGCGCATTCGATTTCAATGTGAAAATAAAGAGCGTAACCATTGTATTTTTGATTGTTAGTTAAATGGAAAGAAGACGTTGTTGAACTAAGACGTCTGTTTCATGTTTTTATCCGTTGGTTATGTTCAATAATCTATATAAAAACAAGGGGAAAATAATATAATAGTTTATAAATTATATTTTTGAATTATTTTACTTTTTATTAATTTTATGTTATTTCATTATTGTTATTTAATATTTTTTAGTTGTTAGTTTAATTATAAATATACTTTTATCTAATAATAAAAACCATTACTTTAATTTAGGCCAGTGTCACTTACAAGGAGAAAACATATCAGCATTATATCTATTACCTCACAATAATCGACTAATTCTTTTTCTCACTGCTCAAAATGCAGAAAATATTCGGACTACTGTACTCAGGTCATCGTTTCCTACTATTCCTCCAATGACCCGGTCACCATTTTCAAATCTTGTCCCTGACTATTTGATATTTTCTTCAGAAATTTTACCTAAAGGCCCTGGAGCATTTTTATGTGCAGGCTTTTGGAGTAATGAATGGACGTATGATATAAAAACATCTTCTTGTACATGTTAAGTGTGTTAATGTTAAGATTAATAGTTATCTCATAAAAGGTTTTTATAAATGGTAAAGTTGCATATTTATTGCTAAAGTTTTTTTTTATCCTAATAATTTTATGAATTTTAGTAAACATTTATTTATATTCCAAAACAGAAAATATTAGAATAAGTATATTTATAAAATTAATCTCAATCTATATTCATAATAATTTTTTTTATTAATCTGTAATAAAGTGTATATATATATATATATATATATATATATATATATATATATATATATATATATATATATATACGCACGATATACGTTTTTCGGAGGTTTTTATATGGTTGCATACGTTGCTTACGCTGCTAAAAAAAATTGATCATTAATATATTAATTGTTCGTTTTTGTTGTTGTTGTGCTTATACAATAATCTATATAATTCAAATTTGTAGCATAATTTATAATTGATACTAATACAAAGTGTTTTGTCTTTTAATAAATAGTACCATCAGTATATGCTTTAATAAAAATGGCACGAGTGCGTGTTTCTAATTGCAAACGAGTTGTATTTGAACTATTTAAACTTTGATAATGATAATGTCATTAAGATCGGTTGAAATTTAGACGATTTTAAATTGGGTATTATGGTTTAACCTCCTCCGGCTAATTGCCTAAATACCTTGGCCCGCGAAGATAAGTTCAACTCACTAAAGAGCATCGTCACCCAACAACTAAAGAGCATCGTCACCCGCTACGCTGACCAGGAGTAAGTTAGTTTAAGAAGAACGAAGTAAGTTAGAGTGAAATTAGAAGAAGTGGAGTTAAAAAGATAGCATAGAGAAGCGGACAGATATTGCGCTGGATGTTAGAATGTGCAATTTATACTATTAATTATATTACTTAGCAAGTGTATTTGTATAAATGCAATCATCATTGCTGATAACGTTATTTTATACTTACATGGTCCTATTATATTGCATATATAGTAGGCCATGATACTCATTATAGACGATTTTAAATAGAGTTTTCTCAAAACTCAAACTTATCTCAAAAGTCACAGAGCACCGTAGAAGAGCATTTAACTAGGAAATCTATGCTTCCTTCACTAATATTACTTCCTTTGCTAGAACCAACGTCGAGCCTCGGACTTTTTGGTTCTGAGCCAGAACTTTAACCACTGCTTTTAAAGCCATGGATAGGATCATATACAGTAACCATGGATAGGATCATATACGGGAAATCAAGTATAAATAACCGCTGCCTAAAGAATGACAAAAACGTAGTATTGAAAAAGAATTATAGCTTAACAAGGTTGACTTATACAAAGAGAAAACCCAAATAATACTTCATCTAGTAATCAATAATAAATTATCAAATAATGATCACGCCTTAAGTGAACCAATTATTAAAGATGTTGAATCAGGCAATGCGGATAACAATACTCAACACAAAAGCAGGATGAATGTTTTAAATGAAAAAATAGCAAAATGCAACTTTTGATATAATTAATCGCAGAAAAGTTTATAGTTGTTAAGAAATAAAATATCTTTGTAGGACTCAGCAATCTAAGTCTTTATCCAAAAAGAATCTATAGAATAAAAGAAGATATAAACTTGAAGATAATCACAAGCCAATAAGAGATAAGTTTTTACTCAAATGTGCTGCAAAATTTACAATAAAATGATTGGTTATTTAAATATGCCAATTAAAACGCATATTTGTGAAAATAAAACGCAGCATGGGCAATGATGCAAAGATAATTAATATATATATATCAAAAATATATCAAAAGCTGCGTTATTATATTAGCAGCCATGGCGCAGTGGTAGCGCACTTGCCTCTAAATCAAGAGGTCCTTGGTTCAAACCCCATCTCTGGGCAAGTTTTGCAACATCAGTTAGGAAGTAGGCGTGAACTTCCTATTAAATGCTCATTCGCGGTGCTCTGTGATAAGACCGTTAGGACTTTTTGGGGCACCCAAATAAATAAAATAAATTGGATAGACCTCATTTATGGGGGTAAATATTCAAGTATATATGTATAGAGTGCAGTATCAATATGAATAACTTATGAAGTTAAACGTTTTAGAAGAAAAATAACTATTTTACATTTTTAGACAGCTTAACTAAATTCACTTTGAAGTTATGATTAACAGCTAAAAAAATCTAGAGCTTTTATGTTATATAATGTATTTGTTTCACAAGTTTTAATATTTAATTTTATTATGTCTTTTCTTTCTCTTCCTATATATATTGTATATTTACATAAATAAAGCATATTTATTATTTCAGCGTTACTATGTTGCATCTTCAAGCAACTATTATCTTTTGTATTTTGTTCCACGTATGGCTAAGAAATTCTATGATTAATTTGTATTTATCTTTATTGCCAGTTTGCACAAAATACAATATGCCACATAAGGAAAAAAATCTTAAAATTGCATAAAAAGATTGATTAAAAGTCTCATATTACACCGGAACTGGTTTTGATGGAGCACCAGTTATTAAGTTCATGGTAACAAAAATGCAAAAATTTTTGGACAGCAAGTTCGGTATTTTTTACTGCGTGAAACATTTCAATAAGCTGGTCAATAAAGATCCGAGTGCAATATTGCTCATAACTCTTCTCCTCCCTCATAATTGTTTAGTCAATTGATGCAACTGAATTAAAAAGCCTTCAAAAGGACTGCAGAAACAAGAGCATTAAAATATTACTTTCTTAACTTTTTTCACTAAAAAAACTTTTAGACTGCACGTCGCTTTTGTACTAATTGCTATACCAAAGACTCTATCAAAGCAGTTATAAAAGAATATTTGAAAAGGAGATGCTGCAGGATTTTTTGATGTTTCAGATAGGATACTTTCACACATTGTGCAAACTCCAAACTTAAGTATGCTCATACCTATGCCAAATGAAGAGGCCTTGCAAAAATTTGGGATGGCTGAGTATTGGGGAATAAAAAGCCCAAAAACGCTTTCCCCCGGCCCAAACGTGAGGGCACTAATATAATAAAATTTTCAACTTTACTATTTGAAATTTCGTAAAAAAATATTGTAAATTACAAAAGTTATGACCATGCAAATTTTTTGTCCCATTTCCCCCTCCCCTCCTTACCAAAAAAAAGAGGGGTATGTGAATTTCGTATGGTCTAACTTTTGTAATTTGCAATATTTTCTAAAAGATTTATAATATGTCAATAAATTTAAATTTAGTTTAAGATAGTAAAGTTGAAAAATTTACTACATTAGTGCCCTCACGTTTGGGCAGGGGGTTTTTTGTTCCCAGCCCTCCTCCATCCGCAATTTTTGCAAAGTCTTCTCATTCGGCATAGGTATGAACATGCTTAAATTTGGAGTTTGCACAATGTGTAAAGGTGTCTTACCTGAAATAACAAAAAATACTGTGGGCGCCTATGCTTGGGTATAATATGAGTTGATGGAGCTACCAATATTTACCGCAGTTATTAATCAATACAATGCTACCCCACCAATAGCAACAGTTTTATAAATTTTAAATGTCATGATATCTAAAAAAATTACTAATAAACAAACATAGAAATTCATGAAGTTTTGCTACTGCTAGGGTGACTGCTGTCCCGGATTTAACGTTGGAGAGCGCAGCGCTAATTTTAAATAGTTTAGCGCTGTGTTCTCCTACGTAAAAACAGTAAATTTATTCTCTATAGAATGTTTAACAACGTACTTATAACTATTCATAATATTAAGTTGACAATATGCCATTAATTTTTATCTTTTGAAGCACTGGGGTCACTGAACGATTTATTTACATTAAATATAATATAATAAAAAACTGTAAATTTTTTGGCAAATGCCTTTATGTTTTGGCTTTTTGCCTCTGCCCTTAAGCTATTTTTGCCTGTATTACCACTGTATATTACCAATGAGTAATTTTACGATACCGACATTTACCAGTTTACATATATACATATTAGACACTAGATATACGGTCTCGAGTCTCGATTTCTCCTCTGGTATCGGTGCGATACCATATATTATCGCTATCGAAATCACGCGATACTGGTATCAAAAGTGATACAGAGAACCACTGTATTCTCTTAGATAAATTAAGACATTACGTAATAATTAATAAAACTTATTATTGGATTAAAAGCTATCTTACAAACAGCAAACAATATGTAAATAATGCCCAATCTGGAGTGTTAAATCTCATATGTGGAGTTCCGCAAGGATCGATTCTTGCTCCACTTCTTTTTTTTAATATATATAAATGACTTCTGTAATGCATCCTTAAAACTTAATTCAGTCATGTTTGCAGATGACACGAATTTATTTCTTACCAACAACGATATTAAAAAATTATATGCGGACATGAATATTGAACTAAATAAAGTAAATAACTTGTTTAAGGCTAACAAACTCTCACTTAATGCCGAGAAAACAAACTATATACTTTTTCATAAAAAAACACAAGAAGAAAATCTTCCTCTCAAGTTGCCGAACCTATTTATAAATGATAAATTAATTAAAAAGCAATCCAATATAAGATTCTTAGGAATCGTTGTTGATGAAAAATTATCCTGGCTTCCTCATATAATATATATCCAGTCAAAAATGACCAAAATCATAGGTTTAATGTATCGAGTTCGCTCGTACATCAATACAAATAGTCTTAAATTAATCTACTTTGGGCTAATTTACAGCCTCATCAGCTATGCAAACATTTTATGGGCAAGTACTCAAACAGCAAAGCTTAAGAAACTTTATAGTTTTCAGAAACATGCCTGTAGAATCATTTACTTTAACATGCCTGTAGAATCATTTAATAGGCGGGAACACGCTAATCCCTTAATGAAAGGTATGAAAATGATGAATCTATTTGAAATAAATATCTACCAGCATTTAATTTTCATGTATCGGTACAATATCTCGGTACAATCACAATATCACAATGTATCGGTACAAACACAATATCTCTCCTATAAGCTTTAATAATAAGTTTGAGTTAATTAAAAATGATAACTATAATCTTAGAGTGAATATGTTGAACACATATAAACTGCCTAGGATAATAAATAAATATTCAGAATACAACATTTTATATCGAGGTCCAAAAGTATGGAGTATTTTTCAAAAAGGGTTCAAAGGTACGGTGAGTTCGTTAAGTTCATTCAAGTTTTTAACAAAAAACGAAATCTTTAAAACCTGTGAAACATTTTTTGTTAATAATGCTTTGAATAAATTCTCTTAAATACGTTTTTGTTTTGTTTCTACTTTTGTTTGTTGCTTGACAAATTTTATTAGCGGATTACGCATTTTGTTATGATACTTTATTAATGTTTTTATTTTGTATGTCATATTACGATATTTTAATTAAAACTTGTTAAAGGGGTTCTATGAAAAGATTGCGACGATGTTCTGTCATCCTCGTCTTCTTTGAGCCCCTATCTGTTTTATTTATTTTGTTAAATTTTATATTATGTAGTGGAATTTGTAAAATTCTTATGTTATGTAAACAGAGAAAAAAATAAATAAATAAATAAATAAAAAAAAATAAAGTATCGTTAATGTTGATATCCTTCGATACTTTACAGTATCGACATCGAGATCACGCGATACTAATATAAAAAGTTATCGCTTATATTGGTATTGTTTGTACAGTATAAAGTATTAGGAAAATTTTTTCAAATTTTTCTATCGTGATTAAAAGGAAAGAGAAGACTTTGTTTAACATTTATTTCTATATTAAATTATTCCAAATAGTTAAATTATGTTAAACAGTGTGTAAGGGGCCATCCATAAAGGAAGTCATCCAAATAGGGAGTGGGGGGGGGGGGGGAGGGGGAGGGAGTCGAGTTAAAAAGGACAAAAAAGGACAAGGGTAGGGGGGGGGAGGTTGTCAGAAAAGAACGTCACTTTATAGATTTTTTATTTTAGTTTAATTAACATGGAAAACTACGTAAACATGTTTTTGAGAAGATAATGTATGAGAATATTTTTAATTCTATTTTTCAAAGGTGTAGCAGCAGATTCAAACATCATTGCAAGATGAAATAAATTTTTTTGGAGTTAAAAATAAGGGGGGGGGGGGGTCAGGATTTTATGACGTCCTTTTCCAGTGGGGCGTAGGGAAAAAGAACAACCGGTGACAAAGGGTGGGAGGGGAAGGGGTCAAAAATTGGCTAAAAAATGGTGATGTCCTTTATGGATGGCCCCTAAGGGGCGGACAAAAAGAAAAGAGGGGTGTTATTCAGGGTCCCTCCCTAGGAAATGTCAAACTTCAAAACATTATTGATAAAATTAAAAAAATACAAATTCAACATTTTATTATTTTTCTCAAAAAAAAAATTATTTATATTACCATTCAATATATTTATTAGCAAACTATCATAAAACCTTTCTAAAATCATTCTAAATGATCAAATGAAACAGTTGCTTTATTTAATGTAAATCTTATTTATTTATTTATTTTTTTGGTCGGACTACCCCCTATAGAACAATGACCTGGATCCGCCCCTGCTGTGTGCAGTTTCTTATATCGTTATTCCAACTCTATTGAATTTTCAATCCATTCAGGTAAAAATTTTCTGTGCGGAATTAATCGGAATTAAAATTAATTAAAAGGAATAGTTTTGCATTCATTAAAAATAGTTTTTCATATAATTCTCCAAAGAAAATTGCTTGTGATGCAATCTTAAACGATTATTCTAAACGAGTATTAGAAATGATTATTCAAAGGGAATTAGTTTTGTAACTATCATTAAAGAGAGTTTTTCATATAATTCTCTAAAGGAAATTGCTTGTGATGCAATCGTTAATGATTACCGTAGAACGGGGTGACTTTGTTAGGATTTTGAGCATTTTTGCAAAATAAATCTGGTTAATTACAATTTTTTCTGAATTTTTTTTTCCCGTTATAACATTATACCTTTCCTTTATATAATTCCATTAAATATTTTTAATTTTTTTTTGTCTTAATATATATATTTTTAATCCAAAATGTTATCAATCTCACCCCGTCGTTTGGGGTGACTTTGATGGTCTGTTATTTCTTAATGGCTTATTGATTTAACCCTCTTTACAGTGTCGCTAATACTTTCTTTTTGACTTTTACTAAATTAGAACACAACATATTAATAAACTTATAAGATTTACTGGTAAAATTATAAATTTAGACAACAAGTTTGGTTATCGAATATATCTACAGAATGGACAAAGAAAAAACAAAAATAAATTTGATGTTAATATGCTAAACACAGAAAAATAATATATCAATAACATTGTTATAGTAATTAGCAGTTATAAAATAACACTAACAAAAAAATAATACTAATTGCATATAAATATTGAGTACTGATTTACCCTGATTTACACTGATTTTTCTGCAAATGTGATTGAGAGTAACCAAAAACGAGTGGTATATTCCAGTGGTATTATAACTGGAAAATACCACTTGAACATCTAAGTATAAATTTTTAGAAAAAAAAAATTTCAAAAAAATTAAAATCACAAGATTTTTTGGCATTTTTTGGTACGTGTAAAAATCGTTATTTTTTTGTTATAGTCATGTTATTCCTAACACATTTGCACAATTTAGAATCACTTCACAATCATTAAAATTTCAAAAATATTAGCAGAATATAATTATGTACAAGAATAAAAAAAAAAAAAAGTCTCTAATTGTGCAATTTCACATTCAAATCATTATTTTTGTAACTAACAGACGAAATTATCAAAGTCACCCCGCGTATCAAAGATATTCTAAAAGGTATTCTAAAAGAGTATGAGAAATAATTGTTCAAAGGGAATTGATTTCGTAACAGTCATTACAGTAATTTAAATTTAAGTTTTATTCTGTGATACCGCATACATATTTTAATTTCTCACCTGGTATCGTTACTTTAATTAAATCTCTCGTGGTATCGTAATTCTCGCCTAGTCTTTCGTTCTATGTTCAACATTCAACAATTAAACTTTAGTTTTAAACAGTTAAACATAAGTATACTTTAGTATAGTTATTAAAGAAAACGAATCTTCACAATGCCGAGAAATAATCCTGAGATTTATTACCGGCAGAATTAGTTTTATATATAACAACTTAACTCTATATCGTAGTAGTTTGGCCAAGCGGATAAAGTTATGGCCAGTGAGTCCGGAGATCTAGGTTCAAGACTTCCCGAAGGGCTTAATTTTTTTAATTTTTGTTAATTAAAAATGCAGCTTATTTTTTACGTTTTTACGTTATAACTATTATTGTTTATTAGCTATTAAGATTTTAAAAAATTTAATTTATTTGGTGAAGCATATAACTCATTTAACATTGTTTAGATGTAAAATTTAAAGTAATACCCCTAAAATTATTAAAATATTAGTAGAAGAAAATCCTAAAATACCAGCGAAAGTACAGCAAAGGTAAAAATAACGAATGGATGATTAAATGGTTTTTAGAGATTTAGTTATTGTTAAAAAACAATAACTAAATCTCTAAAAAGCAATTTTATTTGTATTTTGTTTATAAAAAATTCAATAAGTCACATTTTAATTTTTTGTTTTACTGAGCCTCGATTCGAGACCATGCGATATTATACGATTATTTTTATTATCGGTATCGTTTGGTATCGAAGCGATACTGATAGTATCAACATTGGTACATAAGCGATACCACACAATACGAGACCATCTTTCTCGGTATCGTGTACCAGTGCCACTGGTACACGATACCGAGAAAGATGGTCTCGTATCAAAGCTTGTTTCGAACCTCGGAGATCGAGGTTCGAAACGAGCTCTGGACTTATTTTCGCGTCACGGTAAGGAAGGAGGTGTGAACTTCCTGGTTAATTGGACTTCCGCGGTGCTCTGTAACAAGACCGTTAAGTCTTCTTGGGGCACCTAAAAATAATATATACGCCGTAGCAAATAGCTAAATTTATTGAAAAAAATTTTAGCGTATCTTTTATTTTTGTTTATTTTAATTTTATCAAATGTCGCCAGTAATAAAGTTTACTTAAAGGGATAAAAAAATTTAATTTTAAAACCCTAAATATGTGTTTATAAAAAAAAGTTATTTCAAAAAATTCGCAAAATCTTGAACAGTGCATGTTGTTGTTCCTAACAACACAATCATTACTAACCGAATTAAAAGTAATTTTAGACTATTTAGTTACCTATATTTAGGTAATACCTAAATTGAGAAATTTATGTATTTACTAAATAAAGTTTTTTAAAAAAGTTAAGGTATTTACTAAAGAAAACTTTAAATAACTACTTTTTTTAAAAGTTAAAAATCTTCAAACAATTTAGATAAATGTGTATTTACTAAATAATAATTTCTACATAGTGCATATAATGATGCAATTGACTTGCATATTATTAATATGCAAATTGTATGTGTAAGTATAATTATTACTACTATTAAGAATGTCTATTTTCTAATGAAGTTGTTGATTAAGTGAAAAATATTTTTGTAATATTTTTTTTTATATTGAAATTAAGTTTCTTAATATTTTAAAGTTTTCAAAAATGAACAAATCAATTGCACTTTTATTTCATCCATTACTTGTTAATACAACTGCTAATATTCACGAAATGCTGTCAAGTTGTCTTCCAGAATATAAAGTTTATGAAATAAAACATCCAGAGCATTTAGATAAAGTTTTGTCTAAAATAGAAAATCAAGAGAAAGAAGGTTTTTGTTTTTTTTTAATTTTTATTTTATAATAGATTTAAGTTTTTTTTTTAACATTATTTTTTTGTCATTTTTACAGTGGTTTCATTTGTTTTAAAACAATTTTTTTTTAAAAATTAATGTTAAAGTGTACAAACAGCATTTGAATTAAATTTATTTGTACATTTGAATTCAAATGTATAAACAAATTTAATTTAACAATATAAGACGAACAAGAGTACACAGGTTAAATTATCAACAAGCAAATGAAATAAAAATAATTTGATGAAGATTTGTGTTGATTGTCTGGTGTAAGAGTACACAGAAGACATTGGCAAAAGTTTATATAAAATGAACTTAATTATTTAAAGATCATTTTATTAATTAAGCCCCTGAATTGTCTCTTTTGGATTTGTACAAACTTATTAAGGAAATAAAATGGAAGATGCATTTCTGAATACTTAAATTATTCTTAGAATTTTCAGATGTTTTATGATATCTGCTCTGATATATTATTAGTAAGATATAGTTAAGATATAATTTTGTAACATGATTCTAAAAAATGTTTGTGGAGATTGAATTGACTTTTTTCTTAAATGAAGAAAATTGAATCTTTTGTGCAAAACACAGTTGGTGTTAATGGAGATATCAGGTCTCTAAGAAATTTAGGTAATTGATAATTATAGGTTCTGATAGTATAAATTTGTTGTATATGGAATCATTGAAAAAATTTTAAAGTTGACTTTCTCTATTTATAGTAAGGGAAGACAGGGAACATTAAAAAATTTAGCTGGTTTTTCTTAATTTACAAATGATTTTTTGCCAGAAACGAATAAATTTTTTTTAGCATTACAAGTAATATACATACACAAACAAATTAAAAAAACAGTGTATATAAAATATTGATTTTTGTTAAATCTACCACTGTTTTAAAAGTAAGCCTCAAAGTGATTGATTGTACCCTACCGCTGGGGGAGTTTCAACCTCCTAGAGGATTACTTTTATTTTTTTCAAATTAACAAATGGTTCTTCTTACCCAATTTTAGTATTATATTATCTGTTTAGTCATGTTTTCTTAACATGACTAAACAGATAATTTTATACTAAATTCAACGATAATCTGTTTGACTAGTACAGGGTTTAAGTTTTTGAGATTTAGAGCATCATATTAACTGAAAGTTTAAAGCAAGAGCTCCAGAGAAAAACTCGCAGAAGAAATGTTTAAGTTAATAAAATATAAACCCCCAAAAAATTTGTATCCCAATAAAACTGATAAAAGCCATAAAACTCACATTTGCATTAAAATTACAAAAAAACAAACAACGGTTTTTTATACAGTCAGTTATTTTAAAAAGTATTTAAGCTGAACTTTGATTTTCTTTATTTCTAGTTGGTTAAAAAAATGTAATAATATTACAAATAAGTATAAGCAAAAATTTTTAAAGTGTGTTAAAAAAATTAAAATTTTTTTTTTATAAATTTAAAAAAGTTAAAAAAGTTTATCTGTCCGTTTTAAAAAAATTAGTAAAATAAGTATAAACAGTGTGCTAAATAAATTTACAAACATTGGCATAAGTGCGAACTGGTATATATGCGAATTAGCATAAGTGCGAAATACTAGTTTGCACTTATGCCAATATTCAAAATTTTATTTGGCGCACTTATGAATTCACATTTATGCCTGTTCGCACTTGTGCCAGTTTATGCCAGTTCGCACTTATGCCAATGGTTGCAAAATCCTTTGGCTCACTTATGCCAATTTGCACTTATGCCAGTTTTTGCAATGCTTCACACCTATGCCAATTCACACTTTTGCAGCCTCCTGTTAAAAATTGTGTTTAAAAGAGAAACAATGAATAAATGTGAAATAATATTTCATGGAAAAATTTATTTGGCTTATAAAAGCAACGAAGCTATGAAAAAAGGTTCAATGTCTAATTCAAAAAGAAAAAGTAATTGAAAAATGAAGACTATAAATTAAATTGATTTTTTTAAATCAAATTTCTTATTAGACATTTAGAGATGTTGTTTAATATTTAATGGTTTATAGCTTCACACAACTGGGTTATAAAAGTCATGTCTTATGATAAATCAATATTCATTTGAATAACAAAATTGAATTTATAACTTCAAGTGTTTGATCTATTAAATAAAATCTGACTTTCTAAGTTTTTTGTTTCAAAGTATTTTTAAAGTAAACATACGTAAAATATTGCAGTATTTTTTTTAGAAACTGAAGCTTTGTTGGAAGAAATTGAGCAGTTTGATATTCTTTTAACTGATCCTATGTCATTATTTCCAATTGCAAACAGAATCAAAAGTATAAAATGGATTCAAGGGATATTTGCAGGTTTATTAATTTATGTTAACTAGATAATGTTTAACTAAATATAAATAATGATTATTAACATTTAAGTACATACTCAAGCATACAAATACATATATGGGTATCATACCATATACATATACACATACATATTGTGTACTTATTAAAAATAAGGTCTGTGATTTTTTGCCAACCTCAAACCCTTCTAGGTTAGCAGTTAGGTTGGCATTGCCGAATATAATTTCGAGGGTTGCTTATAATACATTATGAGTCAGCAGATTACATTATGTATTGAAAACTACAACTAATATATTAGGCTGTTATGGCATTTCAGTTACTAACAATAAAATAGTGTAGTTTTAAAATACATTGCTAACATGCCTATATGGCATGCAATCACAAATGTTTAAATTAAAAAGAACTTTTGCCATGACCCTAAAATTATTAGATGAAGCAGGTCCAACTACATTTACAAGGTCTTTTTAGATCTTCTCTAGAAGAGAAAGAGCATTAGAAAAACTAAGAGTAAGATAATGGCAAGCACAAAAAAGAGAAGCAACCTTGGCAGACTTTTCAATTGACTGTTTATATGGTTTCCATGAGAAATCTGTAGTTAATTATAATCCAAGAAGACATAAAGAAGAGGAATCAGTGAGAGGGTAGCCATTCATCAATATATGAATGTCGACAGTATTGCGATAATTGTTTATAAATAACAGAATTTTGTTGGAGTTAAAGTTTACAAGCCACTGCGAGCCCCAATCTGTTACATAAGTAAGATCAGATTCAAGATTGGCTGCCTGTTCTAAGCAATCGAAAAGAAAAGACTTTTTTGTCAAGGCAGGAGTATAAAATTAAGTCATCAACAAATAAAGTCACTGCTTTCATCTAATGCATTAATTGTTCAGTTACAGCGGTAATTGAGTCAGCCTGAAAACAAGAAGTATATAATCCTAATTGTTTGTCAAGAATAAGTTATTAGAATCAAAATAAGATTTTAGAAATTTTAGAAAGACTAATCGGAAGATTGTTGGAGGGTCAGAGTAATTTCCAGATTAAAAAATTTAACCACATATGTCATTTTCCAGCAAGCAGGAAGATTCAGTTCAGCACTTATTAAGATGTCTAAAGAAAATTAAAAGCAAAGCATTCTGGAAAACACTTTTGCAAGACTATGACAGGAATATTGTTTTGACCGTAATAAGATCAGGCCTATGAATTAGAAATGGAATTTTTAACTAGTTGCAGAGTAGGTGAAGTTAGAACCAACCCATTCTGTGTGATGATCATTAAAGTTATCAATAACAACAATATTTTGCATATATATATATATGTATATATATATATATATATATATATATATATATATATATATATATATATATATATTATATATATATATATATATATATATATATATATATATATATAAAGACTAAAAATCTATTTATTTTTTTACGTTATTTTTTATTTTATTTTTTTGTTTAAAATGTTTATTGATAGACGTCTGATAATATCATGCGAACTCATTTTAAATGGTACATCATCGTACCTTATGCACAGAATCGCATGAAAAAAAGTAAATACACAGATATAATAAAAAAGCATTCTTGAAAGAAGCATATATATACATACATAATTATATATATACGATATATATACGATATATATATATATATATATATATATATATATATATATATATATATATATATATATATATATATATATATATCAGGGGCTATTCTAGATCATTTTCGACAGCATCAACTAGGCCTGTAAATTGAGCCAAACGAGCCAAGCTTGCCAGGGCTTGGCTCAGCTCATTTACATATTAAGAGTGTTCAGGCTCGGCTCGAGCTCTTTTCGAACATGAGATTCTTTGTTCGAGCTCGGCTCGTTAAGGATTAGTATTGTTTGGGCTTGGCTCGTTTTACATGTTGCTTGAGCTCGACTGGTTTAAAACTCAAAATAATTATTGTAACCTGTTAGTTTAAAGCTCGTTTAGTAAAAAAAAATTGTTCGTTAAAGGCTCGTCTGTAAATAATGCAAGTCCAAATCAACAAACAACATAAACAATCCTACAGTCTATTAAACATGCAAATGAATGATTAAATAGCAGAGTAAATAAAAAACATTCAATATATTATCACAAAACATTTAGTTGTGCAACTTGAAAAAATACATCTCTACAAGTTAAAAAATAGCTCCTTCAACAAAATTATTGTGAAAAGAGTTTGAAAAAAAAGTTTTATATATTTACTTTTCTGTTTTGCATAATTTGTACACTCTTAAATCCATTAAAAGTGGTCTAAAACATATTAAGCCTGTTGGCAAATGATAATAGTCAATAGCAGCCTCACATAATTAAATTGTTTATATTAATCAATTATTTAGTGTAATAAGAGTTATACAGGTCATATCTCATATAGTTACACTAACACTATATTTTTATTATATACTAATATATATATAATATCACAATTTTATTTATTACATATATATTATTATAATATAAATAAATATATATATATTCGAGCTTTAATTGAGCCTATATGAACGAGCCTATGATGTTGAAGCTCAGCTCGTTTAATAAACGAGCCTAATTTTTTGTTCAAGCCCGGCTCATTTACCATTCGAGCGGAACATGAACAAGCTCTTGTCGAGCCGATCACCGAGCCATTTACAAACACGAGCCAGGATTTACAGCCCTAGCATGGACCATATTTGGGTGCCGCCTAAATTAAAATTTGAGAATTTTAAGGCAAATATAGTTTTTTTTTGCGAAAAAACACAGATTTTCTGCTAAGTTTTGTCCGGACAGGAGGGGACCGCCACCCAAAATTTTATTCCTAGAGTAAGCCCTGTGCATACATACATACATGCATGCATACATACATACATACATACATACATACATACATACATACATACATACATACATACATACATACATATATACATACATACATACGTACATACATACATACATACATACATACATACATACATACATACATACATACATACATACATACATACATACACACATACATACATAGATTGCCTTGCGATAAAGTGTCGGGCGATGTGAATTTTACGTCGTCCAAGAGCGATTTTGCATGTAGCTAGGGCTATTTGCGTTGAGCAAAAAAATCTTTGTTTGAGTATATTTAAAGATATTTTTGAGCGGAATATAAATGAAGTAATTTATGATTATTTTAACGTTTAGTAAAGTATTTTAAAAACCGCACGTAGTTGATATAAAAGTTTGAATTACCAAAAAATTAAATATGCTCATAATTTACAATTATTTAAAATTATTCCATCAATTTAAAAATATTTATTAACTGTTAGAAGTATTTAAAGTATTTAAGAGTAATTTTGAGGAAACATTTAGTAAGTGCAAATAAAAAAAATAAAAGGATTAATATTAAAAGGTATTCTACTTGATTCAATAAAAAAGTACAGTTATTAAAATTTTTGTAAAAAGTAAAATTTTTGTAAAAACTAAAAAAAAAATTACTTAAATAATAACAATCGCTTATTTGTTAAAAGTTACCGAAACTCAACGAAGCGTGCTCAAGAACAGCTGCTGTAAAATAAGACGTCAGTAGTTTGATAAGTTTATATAACCTGGTTTTGTTACCTGGTTTCTACCCATGTAAAGCAAATTTCAACTAACACCCTGAAAAAGGCTCAATAAACGTAAAAAATAAAATAAAAATTAGTTCTCATATTTAACCACCTAATGTTTTCTTTTTTTATTTTAGCGCACCTTTTATGAATATGCAAATTTTTACTCTGAAATATGTCTTTTATACCTATAAGATTTTTATTCTAACATTTTAATTTAATTTACTAGAAATAAAATTCCTTGTAAACATTAAAAATCTATTTAAAACAATCGTTAAAGTTTTTTAGTAATACGAGTGATTGTGCTTATCAACCGCTTTATGAAAATAAATAAATATTATATAAAATCGCTGGTAAAAATATTAGCTATTGCACAGTTTTTAATCATACAATATTAAAATTTCCAGTTTATAACTCGCTGACTTTTTAAAAAGAAAAAATAATTATTTTAAAAACTTTAAATTACATATTTGAGAAAATATGTAATTTTCTAAAATAAATGTTATAAAATATTTTATAATCTTTTTTAAATGTTTAATTATGTTTTTTATTCGTTTAGTATAGACAAAACATGTCAAACGTCAAGAAAATAAACAAATGTTTTTACATTTTAAAAAACGAAACATTCTAAAACATTTTTAAATAATAACATTTCTACATTAATGATTTAAAGTAGTTTTGCGGTAATTAAGTAAATTGGTGCAGTTAATGTCGATGAATATGAAAAGCAAATAAAAAGAATTTAATGGCGTCAAAAATCACGTTGTGCTTATGCGTCGCGCAGTTTTTATTTATCACAAAGCCTATACATACATACATACATACATACATACATACATACATACATACATACATACATACATACATACATACATACATACATACATACATACATACATACATACATACATACATACATACATACATACATACATACATACATACATACATACATACATACATACATACATACATAGATATATATATATATATATATATATATATATATATATATATATATATATATATATATATATATATATATATATATATATATATAAATGTATTTTCAAATATATCTTCAAAAGAGTGCTTGATGAGTTAAAGTAAATTAAAATAAATTAAGTTAAAAGAACTATGAAGAGGTCTATTTAAAGTAAACAGGTTTTAAGAAAATTTCTATTATTTGGGTAAAGTTGTGTGAGTTTTATTTTTTATTGCTATATTTTTTATTGCTATATTTTTAAAATTTACATCAGTAAGTCAAGGAAATTTTATTTTAGTCTGGGAAAATGAAATCAAAAACCTTTTTGAGTTTTTTACTTAACCTCTTCTTAAATTATTTTTTCTTTTGACCTCTCATGGAAATGATCATTTTAAAGTTTTACTCAATTCATTTTTTTATTACTTAAATCAATTTAGATTATTCAAATCATTTTAAAGTCTACTTAAGTTATATTAAGTTAAGTATGATTTTATTGAACCAGTATTATTATTCAGTATATTGTTGAGTTTAATAAACAGGGGGAGTTTTAATAAAAGGAAAGGGGGGGGGGATTATTATTTTGCTGTTGTTTAATTAAAGACTAGTTGTAGTAAAATGTTCTTAATTAAAAATTAACTTTTTTGCAGGAGTTGATCGTTTGACACCAGTTCTAAATAAAGATAGTATACCTGCATTTTTGTATACTCGGTTTGGTGGCAAATTTGGACAACATTTATCAGAGTATGTTATTGCTTATATAATAAACACTGAAAGAAAAACTCATTATCTTTATGAACAACAAGCTAAATGTATTTGGTATGTAGTTTTTCTTTGTATAGCATTAATGTTGTTAGAAAAAAGAAGAGAAAAATCATAATTTAAACTTAAAATTGCAATAGCTTATACACAAATAATGCAAAATTTATATGACTTCTCATTGAATTGCGTTGAATCAATAAGTTTTTTTTTCTTGTTTAACTAACAATATTTGCCATATTTTAATAATATTTAATAATATTTTTATTAGAATGTTTAACACTTAATAGTTAAATAACATTTTAAAGGTATATTCAACTTGTTATTAAAAGTCTTTAAAATATAATTAAAATCTATAATAATGAGTTTTTGAAAAAACTGTACAAAAATGTTTTTACTTTTTATTCTGATCTTTTCTGCTTGCTACATTTAAACCTATTAAATTTGTTAAAAACATTGACGTAACTTTTTAAATTTAGTTAAATCTGTTAGGATTATTCTTAAATAATTGACTTGTTTAAATTTGTATTTAATTTAATAACTTCCAAAGTATTAAATTTTTTAAAAGGTTTCAACTGTTACTTCTAACTTTTTCCCATGCATATGTTGTATATTTGCAATACTTGCATGTTAGAATTGCTAGCAAAACAAATTAGAACTCATATCAAAAATGTTTATAATTTGATAACTGATTGAGTTTAAAACTACAGTATAGAGATCATATACATGATGCCTGCATGAAGACCATAGTAATGATTTCTTAATACATTTCTTTAACAATGCACAGGCACCTTGCATTACATCTTAATAAGATAGAATGTTATAGCTGTAATGTAATGTGATGTGGAGCAGCCATTTAAGTTAATTAATTGCAATATACAACTTTTTGAGGACGAACACAGTTTATCTTATCTTGTTTAAGCCATAAAGTAACTTATATTAATAATTATGCATGTGCAATATATACAGCAAGCTGGTTATGCATCTATTTATTAACAACCAATATGGAAAATATTTTTTCAAACTTTTTTTTAAACCAACAATTAAATTTCTATTTAAAAGAAATTATTGTAGAGTAATTTTGTTCCAATGTTAAGTATATCAGCTATGTTATGTTTTGTTTTGTATAACGGCTTTTTCTTTTCTTTTAAAAAAAGTGCATTAAAAAATAAAAGAAGTACATTATAAATATAAGTAAAATGATTTAAATAATAAATATGTACACAGTTTGTACTTATATATAGTCTAGAAAATGATTATAAAAATATGCTTTAATAAAGTTTTCGCTTCAGAGAGTATAATAAAGAATATTCTAATAAATCTTAAACAAAATGTTAGTGTATACAGTGCGTCTATTTAAAATTTAACTCTGGTATTAGAGTTTCTTATTTTGTTGCTAACATCAAGAGGTTTTAGAGTATGATTTAAGTCAACTGGTTTTTACTAGTTTTTATTTTAAAACCTGTTTTTTTTTTTTATTTATTTATTTTTTATTTTAATTCACCTCCTCAAGGCCGAGAAGGCTACTACAGACAAGGAGACTACTTATTTGTGGCTATAACCCTCTCTCAACTCTATAACTCTGAAATATGAACCTTGACGAACAAGGCCGCCGCGCGGAGAAACTAGTTGAGCGCGGTACTACCAGGGACGTGGTGGGGATCGAACTCGGAACCACTCGTTTATGAAGCAAGCGCTCTACCACTACACCACTACCGCATTTTTTACATGCGATGTTGCAATATTTTTATTAAACTTACTAATAGTTTTTCATGAAAAAAATTTTCAGTACAGTTTTTTTTTAGGCTTTTCTTTTTCTTTTTCTTTTTTTTTTGTTAATTTGGAAGCATGAAATATTTCAAGATCGAAATGTATTACCCATTCCTTCCAAAATATAAATATATAATTTAAAACCCTCAAATTTGACTTTTCTTGGTCCACATCTCTGTCTTGTTGCTTCATCTGACAGAACTGATTTGGAAAGTTTCAGTGAATAAAAATGCCAATTTTATGGACTTCATCATCTTAAAAAAATCCATGTAGTGGTATAATTAGATATAATCACAAACATGTGTTTAAACTTCATTTTTAATGAATTTTATATAATGGTCATTGAGTTTATTAAGAAATAGTTATGACAAAATCTTAAATTAAGTCACTATGTATGTCTACCTCTATTTATGTCAAATGCATGCAATTATATTAGCAAATCTATTTTCAATTAGATCACGAAACAATCAAAAAAGTTTTATAATTTAGATGAAATATTATTAAGTGATGAAACCGATAATAGCGAAGAAAGTTACGAAAGTGACGAAAGTTACTACCCAGAAGATTCTGATTCTGATTATGAACCAAGGACAAGTTCATCGGTATTTCTACCTTTTCTTAGTTTGTATAAGTTTTTTATACAAAGAAATGTTTTGATTCATTTTAACCCAATAAACACACTACAATTTTAAAACATTTAATAAAAGTCTTTTAGACATTTGGACATTTTAATACGTTTGCATGTAGTGTGTTTACTTGGAAAAGTTTTTAATTTTTAAATAAAGATATTGCAATTATTAAAAATGTTTCTGTGAGACTTAATATTACTAAACTCTTAAATTTTTAAACTTATTTAAAAAAAAAATTTTAAACTTATTTTTTAAAAAAAAAAAAAAAACATCAAACAACTTATATAATTAATACAAATTTATATAAATAATACAATTTATATAATTTACAAAAGTATTGTTCTAGACAGTTTATACAATTTATGAAAGTATTGTTATTTACTTCAACTTTTAATTGTTATTTTGCCTTTAAAGTTAATCTTTTCCAGTATTTTTCAACTCTTATAGTGGTTGCTTGCATTCTTGTTGGAAATAATGATGTTCATAAAAATAAAAATAAAACTAAAAAACTTAATAAAAACTTGCTTGAAAAAGCACTTTTCTGTTGCAAATTCTTTGCTAATGGTTGGTATTTAAAAAATTTCCAAAGCTTAATAAGAAACATGTCAGCTTTTGTTATGCATTCAAAGTGTGGTAAAAAATGATTGAAATATAATGCTAAATGTGTGGCCAACACAATCAGCTTAAATTAGTTGTAGAATTGAAAAAAAAAAGCTTAAAGCTTTTAATTTCTTTTTTACACCTTAGTTATCATTAGTAGTATCCATGCTAAAAAAACAAGTGTTGCAGAGTGTTGCAGGGTGTTGCAGGGTGTTGCAGGAACATCAATTGGTTTAAAAAAAATTTCAATAGTTTTAAACAAGTGTTTAACAGTTTTAACATGTTCACTGCCAAGCGTTTTTTAGCAAGATGTAATTTCATTGCCAATCTATAAAATCTGTGATGTAAAATTTCTGCCAAGGCTGTTTAGCCTAGTTTTATTCTCAATTCCAAGGCTAGATATCAACATTTCAATAAATATCATCTTTTCAATCAAATGCAAATCCAAAAGCACTTTTTATGCTGAAAGGATAAACAAAAAGAGAATCATACTTGGGCAATGGAGAATAAATTTGTTTCTTTAGCTTATTTGATTCATTTAAATATTTTGATTTTTCTGCATGTATTTAGCATTAATCATTAATCATATAAAATTAAATGATTAATGCTAAATATGATTTATATGCTAAAATTTTATATGATATAAAATTAATTCAATTAATTTTATATCATAATATAAATTATATTTGAGACTACAACATTATTAGAAAACATTACTTAGCTTTGATTTTTTATTATTTTATTTCAAATCTTGATCATTTCAGTTTTACAAATTAATATTTTATATACTTATATATTTCTTTACAGTTCATTGTAGGTATTCTGCAATTAAAGCAGCAAATATTATTATGGAAGAGCGTTGTTATACCCAAAATGATGATCCCAATAATGGAGATTCGGATTTACTTTAAATTCAGACTTTAGATTCAGACTCTGATACAGCTAGACTGTATCAGAGTTTAAATCTAAAGTCAACAAGTTTGATATGCATCAGCCTTACATTTACTTAGCAGCCACTACAGAAGAACCTGTAAAACCAACAAAAAGAGCCAGATAAAGGGGCAGCCTTCCTTATAGATCAACTCAAGATAATGTTTAAAAAGTAAATTCTGAAAAAGACTTTTTCCATGACCTATCACAAGATTCTGTATTATATCTACCATCAAATACAAACAAATGGAAAAACAAGACAAACATTGTACAAAGTTTTCAATTTAATGGCAAACCTGGTTTGAAGTTTAACATGGAGAGTAAGAATCCAAACAAAAGTTGTAGAAACAAATCGTTATGCAACCTAAGGAATCAACAAGTTGCGTCCTCTCAAAGGAAGTTCTGCTATAAAGATTTGGAATCTTATAAACGCAGAAGATATGCAACAACGTCTTAGAGTTCTTCTGCATATAGGATGCGTCAAATTGCTTTCTAATGAGAACTACTGGGCTAAGAACAGTATTAAATTTTCATTCTTTTCCAGAGTAATGTCAGGAAATAAATTTCAGCTATTGCTGCATTTTGCAATGAAGATTCAAATAGCGGACATTTGTATGAAATTAAAGTACTTCTTGATCACTTGAATTATAGAATGGACAACATATACTCTCCTGATAAAAATATTTCAGTTGATAAATTGATGATGCTTTGAAGGGGATGTTTAATATTCAGGCAATACGTCAAATAAAAATTAACAAAATAATAATATGAGGTCAAATTGTATGAACTTTATGAATTAGATTGTGTTGTAATGAAAATAAAAGTCTATTTTGATGAGGCAACTTCAGATAATCACTTGTTGGGTCAAAAAGTAACTATTATTTTAGAGTTAATGGAGAACTTTCTAGGAAAAAGTTATCAATTATATACTGATAACTACTACAATCCCTTTGAATATTCAAAGCCTTTGTTAACAGAAAAAGTATACATAAGTGTTACACTAAGAGGCGATTGTAAGTGAAATCCAAATTTTATAGATTGTATAGCAGCTAAATTGAAAAAGCGAAGCCGTAAGCAGAAACATGAAATGTCTAATTATGGCTAAATAGAAAGATAAAGGAGACATTCTAT